GATTTAGATACTCATCCAGATTTTTATTATCTGTGAAAATCAAAATTGGGTGGCTGTCCCCTTTCCCAAAGAGATCCCTCCATTCTTCGAAGGTATTTTAATCGCAAAATTTCCCTATCCCCCCCACTCATAGTTCCTCTTGGTTGGTCAGTTTTCTAGAACAAGGTATTAGGGGAAATACAACCCTTTGGGCCCTGGCGCTGGGAGAGTAGGCTCTGTAGGGAAGGGGATGTTGGCTCTGGATGCTGTAACACAGGAGTGTTTGACCCTTTTAAATTTGCTTGAAGCTTTTTGAGCTTCCTGGCTCCAGCAAAATCGAGTTGTGGCGGGTGACTGAGAAAGGGGGGGCAATTTTTGTGGAAAAGCCTTTAATAAATTTCTGATAAAAGTTGGAAAAAACCCCAAAAATCTTTGGACCCCTTTCCTGTTGAAGGTGCAGGCCAACCCAGGATGCGATACTTTCTGAGGGCCATGGAGACCCCCTCGTGGAAATTATGGCCCAGGAAACTGAAGGGCTGTTCTCGAACTCACACTTATCGCCTTGGCGTAAAACCTGCACCCTTTAGAGTGTTTAGAATTTCCTAACATGACCCCAATGGAGTTCCGTGAGGGAAAAAATTTAGGATATGTCCGGGTAGACGATCAAAAAAAAGGTAAAGGGGTATTTTTAAAAGATGTCTTTCCCAAAAAAATGTTGAAAGTAGCAAGGGCTTAAATTTAGCCCAAATGGCACACTAAAATTTTCAAAGTGTCCAAAAGCGTGTTCTGAAGGCGGTTTCCACTCATTGCCCTTCTTATCGGACTAAATTGTAGGCCCCCGTAAGCCCAAATGACTCGGGGCTTTTTAAAAACTCGAAAAAAAACTTGGGACCAGGGAAGGGTATCGGTTTTTGAGGGTAATTTTGTTAAGTTCCCTGTAGTCAATGCAAGGTCAAATAGACCGACATTTTTTTTTTTTACAAAGAAAAACCAGCCCTGGCAGAAGAGGAAGAGGGGCGGGGTTGAACCCTTTAGCGGGGATTCTCGTCTAGTTGGCCGGGGGGTTCCCAGTTGAAGTTTGGTATGGGAAAATTACCCCAAAAAATGGTATTTCTGCCCCTGGGAGTAACTAAATTTGAGAAAATCGTAAGGGGCCCCGATGAGAAGGCAATGTGTGGGGCCTTCTTTTTATCAAGACACGAGGAAGTCTGGTAGGTGAGGGGGACTAGTTGATGGCCTTGGGAAAGGGTTGGTGAGAGACATACGAAGAATTGGGGGGTGTGGGGGCCAACAGTGTTGTAGACATATTTGAAGAAAAAATTTTTCCCCTTTTGGGCAATTGATCTGGGGGTTTGGGGGCTTGAAACCCAGGGATTCTAGGTGGTGGAACGGGGGGGATCTGATCAGTCAAAATAATAAATTTCTGTGGCCCGGAAGTGGGGGGTTGCAGAATAGGAATGGTTTCTGGAAAACAGGTCCGGAAAAATCAGAGTAGTTTCTCCCCCAAGTAAGCGTCAAGTCTCTGTTTTTTAGGCAGAAAGGGATGTGTAAGTCCTTGGTTTTTTTTTTAGGCCCGTAATTCTTAGGAAAAACTCTGTCGAAAAGAGCTGTAAATCCCGGGGACGTAAAGTTTTGAAATAAAGTTTTTAAAAACGAAAAACTAAATTACAATAAATATCATAAAAAATAATTTAATAATTAGAGATGAGCGAAGAAAAAAGAAAAATTGATTCGACTGATTCGGCGAAATTCGTGGGACAATATTCGATTCGAGTCGAATAATTCGCTGGAATTTAAAATTAAAAAAAAGGGGGTTTAGGCTTTTAGAGAGATTAATATTGGGCAGAACACTGTACTTTAAATTTTAAAAGCCCTTGGAGTCTGTGGGGAAGAGAAAAATACTGTCGTCAGTTATGACATGCAGATGGTGCCCTGATCTTGAATCACCCCCACTTCATCATTTGGGCGTATGGGGCCAAAACCAGAGTGTGGAGCCACAGTTTTGGCGGTGAGGCAGCAGCAATGGGGGGCCATACGCACCTATGACAAAAAAGGAAAACCAGCAGTGTGAGGAGACCTGAAAGTGGCCATGGCAGAGTGTGTCGATAGAGACAGCAGCAAAGGGGGCCGTTTCAGGGACCCCTGACACACTTGGGCCCCCGGGAGAGATGAGGAGGCGGGGGAAGGTGCCCTGCAGTTACGGGCCTGGCGCAGCATGGGAGTGGTTTCGGGGGGGCCATGGCAGATTACGGGCCCTGGCAGCAGCATGGGAGGCGTAAGGGACCATGACACTTTGGACTTGAGAGATATGGGGAGGGGTAAGGGGAATGGACAGATTAGGGCTGGCAGGCATGAGGGCGTCGGTAGGGGCTGACACACTTGGACTGGGCAGCGATGAGGAGGCACGGTGGTACAGGGGGATGAGATTTCGAGCTGGCAGCAGAACTTGGACAGGAGGAGTTAGTTTCTGCACCGTAGGGTGCGTGCTCGCAAATACTGTTGTTCTTGGAAAGGGATTCAAGAAAGATGCTGAGGATGTTGAAGAGGGATAGTAGCAGTGAAGGAGCAATTGAACGAGGGGAATATTGCCACCAGCGACAACAGATGGCCATGAAGTTACGCGGCTGGCAGGCGCATGAGGGGGTGGTAGGGGGGCCCAATGGGATTCGGGCCTGGCGCAGCTAATGGGGAGGCCCGTAATCTGCAGCACCCTATGACAAAAATGGTAACCACAGCCAGCAGTGTGAGGAGACCTGCAAACCTGGCACAAGGCAGAGTGTGGCGATGGAGACACGCATGCAATTAAGCTAGGGAGGCCGTACAGGGACCCATGACAAGCTCTGAATGGCAGCAGCATGGCAGAGGCGGTTATCCAGGGGCCAATGCAGATTAGGGGCCTGGTTAGAGCTATGGGGGGCCCGTAATCTGCCAGCACTATGACAAAAAATATGGAACACCAGAGCAGCTGTGAGGGAGACTGAAAGTGGGCAACATGGCTAGAGTGTGGGCATGGAGCAGCAGCAATGGGAGGCGTACAGGGACCATGAGAGACTCTGGAGGTTGGCAGCAGCATGGGCAGGTGGCTGTATTAGGGGCCAGCTGGCAGATTAGGGGCCTGGCAGAGCTATAGGCGGCCGTTTATTCTGCCAGACCCTAATGTCAAAAAATTTCAAACAACAGCAGTGTGAGGAGACCTGAAAGTGGCACATGGCAGAGATGTGGCGATGGAGACAGCAGCAAACTGGGTGGCGCAATCCAGTACAGGGACCCCTGATTGAGCATTTTACACAACTGCCCTATATGCAGCCGCATGAGGAGGCGGTATAGGTGGTACTATGCCCGGTGCGTTGGGGCCTGGCATAAACAGCTCTACGATGCCGAGCTAATCTGTGGGGGAACAGCACCCTATGTCAAACAAATTTCATTTTACTTAATCAATTGGGAGCACCAGATGTTTGAGGAGTATTCGTTGAAGCCTGTCGACACAGGGGATTGTGGTTGGCAGATTTGTGTCCAAGTAGGCCTGCAGCCTGTGCATTTAAGGTCCTGCAGCTCAGGACCTGATGTTGCTGGACTGACTGTGGCACGCATGCGGCTGGTTAGTAGTGGCCTCTCACTGGGCTGGTGAAGAAAGCTAATCATCATCGACTGCAACTGAGGCAGCATGCTGGTGGGAGCTGACTGCTCCTAAAACCCCACCCTCTGCTGCCCATGGGCAGCGAGAACGCAAGCGCACAGGGCCCACAGTGTCTGGGGGTAATTGACGTTGGCGCAGACAGGCAGAGACAGGACCCTAATAGGTGGTGTTTTATATGTACGTTATTTTGGCCTCCCAGCTCAGGCAGGATGTGACAAAAAGGCCAATTTTTGAAGAGACGGTAAGCGAGGGAGCATCCTGAAAGGTGGACAGCCATAAGTCATCCCTCTGTCTGATGGTTATTATTCGGTCTGTCGCTACGCAAGCAACGAGCGCATGCTATGGGCCATTTGTGCCAAGGAATGCGAGGGTACTTCCCTGCCTCCATCTCCACATGCATACTGCCACGTGCGTCCAGGTCCTCTGTCTCCTCTTCCTCCTCCTCTACCAGATGCTCCTGCTCCTCCACTCCTGTCCGCTGAGTGGAAAAACCACCCATATTCACTCAGATAATTCCTGAGCACAGCACAATGTCCTCCTCTACCTCCTCCTCTTCTTCCTGTCCTGCCCCCACAGGGGTCATGTGGCGTTGAGATCTGTGCGCCACGTCTACCGCACCCTGACCAGCCATTGTTAACAGCATTTGTTCCAGGACGTGCAACAGAGGAATGACAGACTCTGGAATTCATCCCATAGTCCTGTGCCAACCTCACGAATAGCGTGGCCTCCTCAAAGGGCCTGAGCAAGCGCAGGTGTCACGCATGAGCTGCCAATGGCTGACATCTAAGTTACACAGGGAGTACCTTTATCCGCTTTTAACATCAGGAAATCTGTGATGGCCTTTTGCTGTTCGTAAAGGCGGTCTAACATATGTAGGGTTGAATTCCACCTTGTTGCAACGTCACAGCATGAGGAGTCGGTACAAGGGGGCCCATGGCAGATTAGGGGCCTGGCAGCAGCTATGGGAGGCCCAGTAATCTGCCAGCACCCTATGAAAAAATTCAAACACACCAGCAGTGTGAGGAGACCTGAAAGTGGCACATGGCAGAGTGTGGCGATGGAGACAGCAGCAATGGGAGGCCGTACAGGGACCCATGAGAGACTCTGGACTTGGCAGCAGCATGAGGCGGTATATAGGGGCCCATATGGCAGATTAGGGGCCTGGCAGCAGCTATGGAGGCCCGTAATCTGCCAGCACCCTATGTCAAAAAATTCAACACACCAGCAGTGTGTGAGGAGACCTGAAAGTGGCACATGGCAGAGTGTGGCGATGGAGACAGCAGCAATGGGAGGCCGTACAGGGACCCATGACAGACTCTGGACTTGGCAGCAGCATGAGGAGGCGGTATATAGGGGCCATGGCAGATTTAGGGGCCTGGCAGCAGCTATGGGAGGCCCGTAATCTGCCAGCACCCTATGTCAAAAAATTCAACACACCAGCAGTGTGAGAGAGACCTGAAAGTGGCACATGGCAGAGTGTGGCGATGGAGACAGCAGCAATGGGAGGCCGTACAGGGACCCATGAGAGACTCTGGACTTGGCAGCAGCATGAGGAGGCGGTATATAGGGGCCCATGGCAGATTAGGGGCCTGGCAGCAGCTATAGGAGGCCCGTAATCTGCCAGCACCCTATGTCAAAAAATTCAACACACCAGCAGTGTGAGGAGACCTGAAAGTGGCACATGGCAGAGTGTGGCGATGGAGACAGCAGCAATGGGAGGCCGTACAGGGACCCCATGACAGACTCTGGACCTGGCAGCAGCATGAGGAGGCGGTATATAGGGGCCCATGGCAGATTAGGGGCCTGGCAGCAGCTATGGGAGGCCCGTAATCTGCCAGCACCCTATGTCAAAAAATTCAACACACCAGCAGTGTGAGGAGACCTGAAAGTGGCACATGGCAGAGTGTGGGCGATGGAGACAGCAGCAATGGGAGGCCGTACAGGGACCCATGACAGACTCTGGACCTGGCAGCAGCATGAGGAGGGCGGTATAATAGGGGCCCATGGCAGATTAGGGGCCTGGCAGCAGCTCTATGGAGGCCCGTAATCTGCAGCACCCAATGTCAAAAAATTCATAACACAACACACCAGCAGTGTGAGGAGACCTGAAAGTGGCACATGGCCCATGGCAGATTAGGGGCCTGGCAGCAGCTATGCGAGGCCCGTAATCCTGCCAGCAAACAACCCAATGTCCAAAAAATTGAAAACAACTCAGCAGTGTGAATGAGGAAGACTGAAAGTGGCACATGGCAGGAGTGTGGCGATGGAGTGAATGCAGGCAGCAATGGGAGTGGGCCGTATAAAGGGACCCATGAACAGACATCTGGACTTTGGCGGCAGCGTATGAGGAGGCGGTGGGTACAGGGGCCCATGGCAGATTAGGGGCCTGGAGCAAGCTATAGGAGGCCCGTAATCTGCCAGCCACCCTATGTGACAAAAATGGAACACACCACAGCATGTGTGAGGGAGACCTGAAAGTGGCACATGGCAGAGATGTGGCGATGGATACAGCAGCAATGGGGGGGGCGGTACAGGGTAACCCAAGAGGAGACTCTGGACACTATGGCAGCAGCATGTGGAAGGCGGTAAGGGCCCCATGGCAGATTAGGGGCCTGGCCGCAGCTATGGGAGGCCCGT